GAAACAAAAATTCATTTGACTCTTTTTTGTCGAAAAGCAATTTGATACTTAAGTCTTCACGAAGTCTCTCATTTAGTTTTGGCGATAAACATACAAAATATGTGTACGAGTAATATGTATAATATTAAATATTATATAACAATAAAGACAGAGATATACAGTGCATAAGGACAAACTGCAAAAAGGAATACCTGCTCCAAATAACAATTGTGTAAATACATTTTCAGTATATCATGGCAGACTATATACTCACAGTGTATTGCTATACTCAGTATGCTCAAATTTTGTATCAATTGCAATTAAAAAAATGAATCCCCTACCTACCTACCTACCCATCTCTTGAAATTAGGATTGGAGCAATACAAACAAACATTTTTTATGGATGGCCTTGGAAATTCCCTATAAAATACCGTTGTTTGAGAATTTAGGCCAGGTTTAGGTTTTGACGCGACTACACCTAGTCAAGTTTCTTACATGTCACATTTAGATAAGCTTAATAAATGGCCCTTACAAAATATTATAAGGCACAATTATCACTGAAATGTCTTATTTAGATTGCTCAGGATTTATATTATGTTTCTATAAAATAAAAAAGCGGGAAAATGATTCAATTAGCTAAAAAAAGCAATGGAGTAAGTGAAATGTGTAAAAATGAAAGTTTAAATTAGAAAATGTAAAAAAAAAATATTTTGAGACTATAGATTGAAGCAAATAGGTCATGTACACTGAATCAACAAAAAAAAGTTTAAAAAATAGTACAACTAAAAACAATATCACACCTTCGGGACACATGTTTTGTGTCAAATCGGTGTTATCAGTGTCTTGACAGCCAAACACTTGTAGAAAAATAGAACGTGTTCAATTTTCTTGCAAGAAATTATCTTCATGGAGTTAACATAATTTCTCTTTAAAACTCATTCAAGTAGGGTGTCTACATTATCACATACAAGAGAATATGATACTTGCATTCAAGACTTGGATATGTGTAGACCGGACCTCAGTAGCTAGATAAGAACAAATACGAGTACTAGTTAACCTTTTAACCACGTCACGTAGCAATTCAATGAGACACTCGCCATTTCTTACAGGCGTAACACTAAGTATCTCAAAAAAAGTTGTCTTGTACTTTTTCTATTTCACTCCTTTATTAAAGCATTTGTTTGTTGTGTACGCTACCATTATTTAAATCTAAATCAATAGTTGAGGTTACTCATATCACTTTGTATTGATTAAGATTTAAATAACCGTAGCATACAAAACAAAGATATTTTTTTATGATATCTGTACACGCATACCGTCCGTTTTGCAGTGAAGTATCTAATGTTTTAATAAAGGAGGGAAATAGAAAAAGTACAAGACAACATTTTTGACATACTGGAAGTCAATGATAACAATGAGTATCTCTACATTAAACATAAATAACTGCAAATCGGCTCTTACTCGGCAGTAATTAGTGTAGCCGCTATTTCATGAAGAAACCAGTGCTGATAGTGAAAATCGTGATTGGCATATTTTAATTAGCCAGGTCAGGTGTTTCTAAAAAGGCTGATAACACTGTAGCAATGTGAGGATACATTCAAATTTATTACATAGATAATGCATGTGGAGCTCAGCTCGCAGAGACAAATGAGTACACAGTAACTTTTTGATATCCTTTTAACTCTAAGAAAAATGTCAAATTTTAATTGCTGACTGTTTATATTTTCAACAAAATGTAAGCAAAACATTATTTTGTTTCATATGACAGGAATGAATTGCATTAACAATCCTAGGTATTGTTGAAAACTCATTGTTTTAAATGCCAGATTAAGTAATTGGACCCCATCCTTGTTTGTACGTGACTGCTGGGGAAAAATAATGTTATGCTTAATTAAAGAGGTGACACTTTCTATATTTTTATCTGATATCGAGTTGTAAGAGCCGATTTGCAGTTATATGGGTAAGAGTTTGATAAGACTCCCTACGGTCGTCTTAATACGAACTCTTACCCATACTTATCGCATGGTGCGGCGATTCTTTTTAATGTTCCTCAGCTGTTATTGGTAATAACCCGCAGTGAGATATTTCAGATAAAGCATACTTCTTTGAAAAACAGCGTGCGTTATGTCAAATAAAACACAGTTATCTAAGTTTAATTGGTTCATGTATAAGTATTTGTATTTGCTACTTTCAGAACAGCTCTCTTTACTTTTAGGTGATAAGCATCTAAAATTCTCTAAAACATTATTAGTAACATTATTAGCTCTACTATAATTGTGTAGGTCCGTCATTACATATATTGAACCCTTTGTATTAAAATAGTATTTTGCTCGTCAATATGATTGTATTCAATTCGTTCAATTCATCAAGTACAGCCTACATTCTATCCTATATCCTAAAAAAATAAACTGCGCAGTATATTGTTTCATATTTACCTGTATGACCGACAATGTTTAGTTCGTATTTACAAGGAAGAAAATATATCAAATTGAAAAAAAAATGGCCTTTATTTGAAACAATGGTTTAAACAGCATGAAACGTTATCCTGTAACTTTATAATTTACAAACACAATTGAAGTAGGTTAGTTTCTACGGTTTACGATTAGTTATCCATTATTAAATGAACCTCCTATTTAATTGCTTTACTAATCTAAATATAGAAACATGTCATTCATTGCCTATAAGTATAGAAATAAATCATTCATTGTGTAAAATACTAAACAACAAGACCATTCTACGAATCATATTATAAAAACAAAGTGTATACTCATTACATACTGTAATAAAATTAGTTAAGATAACTTAAGTCTTTCCGTTTACTACCGTCAGGTTTTGTTTACTAAGGAGCGAACCATGTAATAGTTAGACGCTAGTAAGAAAAACAATAACAAAAAACAACCGAAAAAGTTTTGATACTCATGTTTAATAAATATCTTTGTTTCAAGAACTTGCTTAAGTTTGTCATAAAAATGCTTCATTTTGGCATAATATATGAAATAAATGTGGGATTTTAAGTGTCAGAAACATCAAGAATCCCTCATGAAACGCATTTTCCTTTGTGAAAAGAAACTCCTACTTATATGGAGTTTTTGGAAATCTTCCATGTCGTATCATGTCATATCATACTATGTCGTTTTATACATTTCACATTTATATGTATTCTTTAAATTTTAGACCATCTGCTTGTCGCAATAGCTAGAGCATTGTATTTGTTAACCAGGGAACGCTGGTTCGGTTTTCGGACGGTTGACAATTGATCTTAGATATTGGGTCTCAAGGTCATTTATTTCTCACCACTGATTCAGAAATCATGTTGGATTAATAACAAGAACTGTCACAGGAGACCGCGTAGCTCGTCTAATAAAATACTGGACGCAATAAGAAAGACGAAATTATTAAAGAAAAATCAATTATATATATTTATGTATTAACTTATAGTAAAAAGATAACATTTGTTAAAACAAATTCCAAGTTCAAGGGCGAATAATTCTGAAATAGTTACGCTAGAGTTAGTGACCTTGTCGCACAACATGTGTATAATGATAAGAAATATAAATTTAAAGTTTGAAGTAGATACCTTAAAAAGTAAAAAAGTTAAAATATTTCTTAAAGGAAATACTATGTTCAAAAAGAGATAAATCTGAAAATATTGCTTCAAGAGTTATGAACCATGTCACATAAGATGTAATTGATGATAAGGAATAAGTGTTTGAAGTTTGTGGTAGATACCTTCAACACTAAAGAAGTTACAGTAAAAAAATAACATTTTTTCAAGAAAAACAATCTAAGTATATGGGGAGATAATTCTTGCAATATTGGTGCTAGAGTTATGAACCATATCACATAAGATGTGGATAATGATAAGGTACATATTTGAATTATGAAGATGATCCCTCAAGAAATAAATAAGTAACAGTAAAATTAATATTTATTTAAGGAAATTCCTAAGTTCAAGGGGAGATAAATATAAATATTGGTGCTAGAGTTATGAACCTTGTCACATAAGATGTGGTTGATGATGAGGAACATATATTTATAGTATTAAGTTGATCCCTTAAAAAATAAAGACGTAACAGTAAAAAATAGTATTTTTAAGGAAAATTCTAAGTTCAATGGGAGATAAATCTGAAAATATTGGTGCTAGAGTTATGAACATTGATGATAAGGAACAAATATTTGAAGTTGAAGTTGATACCTTAAGAAATAAAAAAAGGTATAGTGAAAAATATTTTACTGCACCAAAGCTTTAATCTGAAATCTGGACGCAGACGCTGACGCCGGGGCGAGTAGGACAGCTCTCCATATACTTTGTATAGTCGAGCTTAAAATTTTGAAATTACTTACATGTCTTTTGGGTCATAATTTTAAATTACCGACAAAAAATGCAAGTTTATTCTTACTAAATAAGTAACCATAAAGGATACCACAATTCTCAAGATCACATCTAAAACACTTAAGTTAAATATTGTAGCGTTATTCGACTAAATTTATGTAAATCTTGTTTGACTTCATGAAATGTAATTACATTCGGCAGTCACTAGCAAAATTGTCAGTGAATCAAGGTGAACGCAAACTTTAACTGTTAAATACAAATAGATCTCTATCTATGCCTTTTGTGGTATCTAAATACTGATGATTGTTAAGACGTATAATTTACTAATACATTAACTGACAAGCTCTTTGTATAGCAAACTCAAAGTCTTTAATTACAATCATTTTTAGCAATGGTTGTTTTTTTTTTACCAAAGCTGTCCATTAATCGTGATAACAATTTAGTTTAAAAAAACAAGAGCCGGTTGAACCGGGTGATGCTCCTCGAATAAGTTTTGGACACAGGAAAGTATACCTCTTGTAGTCTCAGAGTTATCTCACAGACAAAGTTCATAGTGTGAAAACAAGGTAGTGACCCAAATGTCATTTCTGTGAAATAGTTGTAAAATCCAACTTAAAATAACAAAGTTATGGGCCGAACAAGAATTTGCTGCAAGGTCATGATGTGACCATGACCTTCAAGGGAGTGACCCAAATGCTGTCGTTTCATTATGGTGATGATTTCTGTGCAATAGTCGAAGTTATGGGCCGGACACGAATTCGGGACGTACGTCCGGACGGACTGACGAACGGACAACCCGGCGATGATATGCTCCCCCGAATTTTTTCGGGGAGGATAATAAACTGAATGGTGGATAATATAGAATTAACAAGAGTTAACCGTATGACAGCCCGCTCGTTCGGCTATTCTAATTGCTTGACAGTACAAAAGGGGCATAACACTCAGAGTTATGAGATCTGTGCCCATCATGTTAGATAATCACAGACAACAAATGTGTGCAACACCTTGCACGCAAAAGAACTTCACCAAAATGTGACAGCGACACTAACTTCTACACCCACGTCAGGATGAGTTTAATAGATCTCTCTCTCTCTATCTCTCTCTCTCTCTCTCTCTTTCTCTCTATTCTTCGAATTCTCGCTAAAAACGACTGATATCGCAATTGTTATCACATAAACCGCGTTACATGAATTGATATTGTATAAAACAAAATGTAAAAAAAGTCAAATTTAAAATAACAAAAGCGTAGAATTATGAATGGTAATTTCTTAATAAATCAAACAATATAATTTTAGATGAGCATTTTTCCTTTTTCAAGTTAACATTTAAACATACTAATTAGGTACTAGCTTTCTGCCATGAATAGGTACCGTTGAAGTCATTGATATTTAGATTATACATTGATGCAAACTGTTTAAATTTTATTACATCATCATTCTCAGTGTGATGCTGGTCGTTATTTTCTTTCTGTTCTGCATCTGTATCAGTATGCGAATTTGCTGAGTTCCCACTATCTTCCGTTTCCTGAATAACGTCATCTTGTTTACTTTGCGCATCTGTGTCTTTAAACTCTTCTGCAAAGTTCTTGTTGTTTCCTGTGTCCTGAATACCGTTATATGGCTTAACAATGGCATTTGTATCTGTATCATCATACGCGTCGTTGTCATCTTTTGTGTCATTTGTATTGACATCCATATTATCACCATGTTTATCCTGATGGTCAGAATCTTTATTCGGCAATGTCACGGAGTTTCCACTCTCATCAATGTCTGAAACAATATTGTGTCTACTGTCAGGTTCATTTGAAACATTGTCTTGTACATTTTGTTGTAAATCTCCCCTTTGATAATAATCATAATCACTGTGTGATTCAGTGTCATTATGCACTGGATTCGTTTCATTAAACACAACTTGATTAGTCCTTTTCCTCGATGAAGGAAATTGTGTTTGTTCTCCAAATCCGCTTTGTCTAACCTTTCTGTTAGAGACAATAGTAACGAAAGTACCATCTGTTTCAAAGTATTCGTCTTGTTTGTTCTGTGTAGATTCGTCGGAATGTAAACCTTTCGATGCATCAGAATTCAGTCTTCCCGGACCTATCCACGATAAAATAACCGGAAGCAGAAGTAATGCATGCGCAATGCCAAAAAGCAAAACCAAAGACATCACTGCTGCAAACGTTCTAAAAATGTACGACTTTGCAGCAACAAGCACTAATATACCAAGAAGAGATGAAACAGCTCCATGGAATATTGGAGCACCTGTTTTATCAATAGCTTGCTTCACCCTAATGTCACGTGACTCCCCATTCGAGATCATGTATCCGTGACAAATGTGTGCTGTGAAATCAACCGAAAATCCAATACTCATGATCATATGGATCATCGTGATTGCACTTAAAGCAACATCGAGATAATATATGAATCCAAACACACCAATCATAATCATCGTTACAATAATCGTTACAAAAATAATCAGTATCGGGTGAGGCATAAAAATACAGGTGATTATAAAAACTGCAACTAAGGCTATCCCTACGGAAAATAGAGTTTGGTCTAATATGCGAACATATTGTTCAAAAGCAACAAAGGCTGGTGAGAGAGCAAAACAGTTTATTGTTGCAGCACGTGCTAAGTCACGTGACTCTTGCATCATTTTGCCTTCTTCTTGACTGTCTTCTAAATCTACCGTAAAAACATACACACGCGACGAAGTTATATGATTATCATTAGAATCAATGACAACATCACTTTCGAAAACGGAATACCGTTGGTCACTTAGAAATCGTTTAAGTCCATATATAAAACTCGATTCAGACGAACTTAAATTCAAATATTCAGAATTCATATATGTCTTAAGCCAGTTGACCTCAGAACCATTTTCGAAATATTTATTAGACTGAACAGTTGACATCAGCTCATCGATCATAACCTGTGTTTCCTGTTCAGAGTACGCATGCGTAGTTGGAAAAACGAACGAGACAGCATAGTTCCGCTTGAAATATTTCTCTTCCCAGTCAGTATATTTAAAAAAGTAGGAATCGTCGCTTACTAACTGTGTAAACAACAGACCTTGCTTCAAATTAACACAACCGTATATTGCTGCAGCTAAGTATCCAATAAATATAATTATTATGATAATTTTGCAAGGTAACTTCAGCACTATTTTGGGGAACAACCAGCGGGGAAATTTATCGACAAAACTTTCTGCTTCTTCTCTATTTCTAGGCGCTCGCCCTCCACAGCACATGATATATGTTTTAGAACGGTTTTCGATTTTCAAAACTTCCTTTGTCTGTATACGCCTACATGTCATAAAGTGGCGGTTTTCCTCAACTCGACGTTCATTTATGGCGATACAAGAAGCAAACAGGGTGACATTGTTGATGTAACAGAACACAACAGCGACTCCTGAAATCATAAAGGTCGACAATACTTGACTATTATATTATATCTATAAATGTAGTGCTATCACATTGCTTACAAATGGTTGTATATTTTGCATAGTTTTCTGTTTTTAGTATACTTATTACGAATATAATCTTATTTTACCCATAAAGACATATACGTGTACCTGTGTAAATACAAAAGTTTCTAACAGCTATAAAACTTGACCAAGCTCCAGCCATGAAAGCAATCAAGTCTGTAATTGATGTTATTGTTATCCCAACTCCGGATATACGCAATGTCTCCGCCAATTTATCTTCTACTGAGTGCTTAGTTTGTGCTTCTGATAAACCGGACAGCAGAATGAACATGTCGTCTATACCAATACCTGAAATAAGATAAATAATTAAAAATACAATTAAATTAAATATATATATAACAAATAATCAATTTAATAATCTGTTTGTATTTAGTATAAATAACACTGTAAAACCTCAGTAAAAATAACTATGAATACACTTTGAACTAAAGTTTATTACCCTGCTGTTAAATTACATGAATGCATTAATGTCAGTTATTATTTGAGAAGGGACCAATTCAACTTGACCAGAAAAAGGGAATGTAGCCATCCAAAAACAGTTTATGCATTCCTTCATTCCAATATGACATATCTTCAGTAGAATTTCCTTAATTACAATAAATTCTGCAATTAAAGTATTTTACATAAAGATGAGCATAGTATCTCTTTAAATAACTGAAACATACCAATGATTAGAAAAGGCACTATCCCAACAATGCTAACAAAATCCACGCCACAAGCTGCACAAAGTCCGAAGCTAGAAACAATTGCTAATCCCGCAGCCAAAATTCCGCCAAAACCAAGCCACATGCGTTGTCCAACCTGGTCAGTCAGTCTATATTTGATGAAGATTAATTAAAATAATCAATCATTTATACTCTTTATGCAAAAGATCATGTTCAAAGTGTAAAATGTTCATATAAATGTTATATGTCAAATATGCTATGTTACTTCTAATAATAATGCATGAACCGTCGTGGATCAAACAAAAATTATGTCAACATGTATATAGAAAACATTATTTCTAAACATTCATGTCTTGAAATTTTCTTGTTTTTCCACGATAATATTTCATGACAGTATTTCGAATTTGAATTTTTAGGAAATACATATTTTAAGATATATAACAAGAATCGCAGGAGGCAATAACATCACTTCACGAATTGTTTGGCATGCAAATTTGACTCAAAACTTTTGAAAGTATTTAGTTTTTGCAATGAGTCAAACAATTCCTTCTCTTCAGACAGGAAAGTGTATTTAATAATCAAAGTTCTAGCGAAAAAAAAACCGTTACAGGTACGTTTAAATTTAAAAAAAACAAAAACAAAAAAAACGAGTATTGTATTATATATGTTTTCATCGTCTTTAATAAAATTCCGATTGCCCGAAAAACATAGAGTTTATGTTTTCATGCAACCAACTGCAAGATAAGTCGACAATGGACCTGCACAGAGGCTAGGCAGCTTTTGAATTAATCGTCAGGTTTCGTTTTACAGGCACTTTAAAATAGAGAGTAATAAAGAATCCCTTAAGAATTGAAAATGTTGTAGGCTCGTTTTGATTAAATCTGTTCATGGACGGTAGTGGAAAGTGCAAGTTACAGTCCACGCCCCAAGCACCGGCTTAGGCAGTTTTCAACCCTTCAATGTGACACATTAGTGTCATTCCATGAAACGCGGCGTATGTTCCCCAAGTAAAAGAATGCATGTGCCCTAAACGATATAATAATATGCGGAACTAAACAAAATGAAAGGGGATAAGAGGTAATGAAGCCGGCATATCACAGGCAAACGTCAGAAGACAAGGTTAAAAAGCATGCCACATATCCTAGGGGTGATTCAACAGTATTCAAGTAAGGAATACTGGAAACCACTCACCTAGCCAATAGAAAGAACCAAAATACCAAGAGCACAACGCTGAACGATCTTTAATTAAAACCTTAAATAAACCTACATTTTCTTTACATGTTTTTCTATATATATAGTCAAGATTAAATATTAGTGCAAGCGTATCTGATTACATTTTCAGAAACAACTAGTTATATAGCTTATTTTTATGTCTAAAACTAAATAATGACATGAAAGGTTGCAAAATTCGTTTTACCTGTAGGACAGTGTTGCCACGCATGCGTAAGTAATCATCAATGCTATAGTTGCAGCAAATAATGTGATATCTCCAGAAACATTCTCGTCTAATTCCTCGTCCAGCGAGTCATAATGGCCGTATGCAAACTCAAATTTCTCACTACCAGTGTATGACCGCATACGTACTAAAAACTCTGCCACCTGGAAGATATTATAATAAATCATTATTGTATAAAAAAACACATGACTATTGAGTTGATAGAGGATATTGTCAACCCGAGAACTGATATGCCAGTTCAAGGGTTGACAATATTCTCCATCACCCCGACAGGCATGTGCTATTTATTTTATTATACCGAAAGACCTAAAATATTATTTCTGTGTAATAAAAAATATAACACAATTGGGGTGGTGGTGGTGGTTTTGGTTGTTTTCACCCCGGATTACAGCAGTAATCTACATTGAATTTACCACACCGCATCGTTCCTGGGCAGGCTGTAAATGCAAGCAGTTTACCAATACTAGATGCCTTCATTTTTGCCAGGAACTTAAACTTAATTATATTTTATAACTGAATGATAGAGGATATTGTCACCCCGAGCCTGGTATATTATCAACCTCAGCGGGATGCTAAACTTATATAGTATCCAAGAGAGATATGAATTTCTTTTGTTTACACTTCCAACCACACATCTTCAAATCAGTAATGCATAATTATCTTGCTGGCACCATTCACCGCTTAAGTATGTGGTCTGGAAACAATCTTCGTAGACAGTTCAATTTTCATGCTGAATTTTTATAAAAGAAAATCGTCATTTGACTTAACTTCTTGAATTATTTATCTCATTTTCCACGTTTGAATGCACTTAAGTTTCACTTTAAATAATTTTAGACATCTGAAAAACAAAAACGTGGCAATATTCTTTTCAATCATTTTTTGTTGGTCGTACTTAATTATTTATTAAATGGATGCGGTTTTAAACAAAGATAGTATTTTAACCTAATGCATAATTTTTATACATGTATAGAAAGAATAAACATTTTAATGGGTTTTGTTCTTTACCCATTTCGCAGCTTTAGTCTTGTAAACATCAGCATCTGTCCGCATATTAAAACCGATGCGAAGGAACTAAATGCCTGTCAAGATTTTCCCTGTAACATCAAGCTTAACATTTCCTGTAAATGAAATAAACAATGTCAAACATTACTCAACATCTGACTTTCTTTATACATATTTCTTAAAAGAAAATTACGTTGACATTAGAAAGGTGTTTTGCTTTCAGTCGAATAATACGATTATGAATACATGTTAGCTTTCAGTCGTATAGTATGTTTAATTACATTTTGATCAAATATGGCTTAGTAAATATGCGCACATTTACATGTTAAAAAATACAGTAGTAACCGTTAACTGTCTCGGCATTGATATAATTACTTATGTATCTTTAAACGTACTGTCATATTATAAATGCAACATTGCTTCGCCAAGTGCTGTACAACATTGGTTCATGTTAGATTTACAAGTAGACTTTGAACAAGTCAAATGTTGCTTTTTTCACTAATGATATTTCCTTAGCATAGAGTGTTATGTGTTACACTTGCAAACAACACAAGAATAGTCTTAGCTGCTTGTCGATGAAGAAACAAATACAGGGTATGTAACATTATTGTTATCTACAACTGCGAGAAAGTCATCATCCAAAATAGTGTCCCCCTCTAAAGCGCAATGAGAGTGTGACCTAAGCACAAATGTCTGTAAACTGAAAAGAAAATGAAAGTACTTATTGATGTTGACAGCAGGATTTGCAATGTAAATGTTAAAGTTATTTTCAATCATAGTCAATACACTTAATTGTCAGTCGGTTAATTCATCACAAATAGTTTATCTAATCCATCATTTAAAAAAGACATGAATTTATGAGAAACTCCCTTAATTTCAATGAATTTTGCAATACAAGTTTCGTGCACTAAGATGAGCATATCTTTAATAAACAAAAAAAGTATACCAATGATTAGAAAAGGCACTTTTTCAACGGTAACAACGAAATCCGCGCTAAATGCCACATAGAAACAATTGCTAGTCCTGCATCAAAAATTCCGCCAAAACTAAGTCACACGCGGTGACCAACCTGGTAAATCAATCTACATTCGATGAAGATATATTCAAATGTTCATACACTACACGTGAAAGTTCATGTAACAAGTGTAAAATGTTCATATAAATGTTAAAATTATAAATACTGTCGAAAATGTAATGTAACTCCTAATAAAATGCACATGCATTCTTGGAACAAATATAAGCCAATTAAAATATGCCAACACTTAGTTGGTTTGGACAATTAAAAAAATCTGAACATTGACGTTATGGAATTCTCTTTTTTATGTAAGTATTTCAAATTTGAATTTTCATAATTATTGTAGCTGCCTTTAAAATATTTTTAAAGCAATCAAGTCTATCGAGGTAATTTCATCGATTGACGCTTACAAAAATAACTTAAAACACTCGTTATTGTGAAATGTTTTATCCGATAGATTGTTTTACCTTTTGTAATAGACAAGTACTATTTCAATACCTCAAGTGATTTTTCTACTATGTGACGCCGGATAGTACCAATCCGTAATGTCGCATAACTACATTACTAACCGGTCTGCTAACATTACAAAACGGTCATCATGCGCAAATATCAATGTCTCATTTTAAAAAAAATATAAAGTATGATGAAAACGTACCAGGAAACAAAATTTCATTTGACTCTTTTTCTGTCGTAAAGCGATTTGATAATGATGTTGCTGGGTCATATGGGGGTTGCGTTCATTGAACGCCGCCTTTCCTTGTTGATCTTGTTTTTCATATTTCACGAAGTGCCTCATTCAGTTTTGAACATAAAACCTAAAAATATAATATGTATAATATTAAATATTATATAACAATAAAGACAGAGGTAACATAGAAAGATTTAGGAATCCATATAAACAACATCATCTTTGATTGTATCAGATAGATATGGAGAAAAATATAATTTTTTTATGAATATTTAAAAAAAAACAAGAAACAATAATATGGTGACTGTTGTGGTGATTCAAAATTCAATCTTAAAATCAAAAATATGTAAACTGAAGAAACCCCCGTCCCCCTCCCAAACAACAGGAAAATAGCTCTTCCATCCTTATCAAATTAACAGGAAGGACAAATTACCCTTCTCTTTTTTAATTATCGATAGACCATCGCATAAGTACAAACTACAAAAGGGAATAGCTGCCCCAACTAATAATGTATAGAAAAGTTAGATCATGTAAATTAATGGATTCAAAGTTTTCCTTCTCCTCTTTATATATCATTCAACGAGCATTCGTGTTACCTAAATACCTGTAGATTTATTAAAATGCTGTTTTTATGCTGTAAAAATAATGCTGTTGATTTCTTATTAACTACTGCAAATATTTTGAGTCTGACCTTTTAATAACCTTGACCTCTGTTTACGCTAATTGCTTCTCACAATGTAATTTATGAATATATCATATATAGAAGGGTATGACTTGCACGTGGGGAGGGGGGGCCTATAAACAATTAACTTAAGCATCTATTGTTCCATTTTCTTCACAGCTAATTTATAAAGTCACACTCTTTAAATATCTTAACGGAAACTGAGGGTGTGTGTGGATGCTACTTGAATTAAATAGATTTTACGACCCTTAGTTTTTTAAAAAAAGTCGAAGTCTCCTTGAAGTACACAGAACGGACTTGTATATTCTATTTGTGCATTTTAGCGGACATTGAGTGTCAGGTCCTTCGCAACAAACGGGGAGATTTGAACTTTTTGTTGCCATCCTTAATTTTGTTTTGAATGTAAATTGAAAGCAACTTGAAGCAAATCGATTTTGTTCAAAGTTCAAGTTCAAAAAGTCAATTTCTCCCTTAAGTATACAGAGCTGACTTGTATACTCTATTTGTGCGTCTTAGCGGACATTGAGGGTCAGGGCCTTCGCAACAAACGGGGATATTTGAACTTTTTGTTGGCATGCTTAATTTTGTTTTGAATTTAAAGTGAAAGCAACTTGAAGCAAATCGATTTTGTACAAAGTTTATTTTGAACAAAAGGTCAATTTCTCCCTTAAGTATACAGAGCTGAATTGTATACTCTATTTGTGCGTTTAAGCTGACATTGAGGGTCAGGTCCTTCGCAAAAAACGGGGAGATTTAAACCAATATTTTGTTGTTCTTGTTATCCTTCTTGTATGTGAAGTGAACACAAATTGAATCAAATCGATTTTGCACAAAGATCATTTTGAACCAAAAGGCTATATATCCCGTTAGTTCTCAAAGCTGACTTGTATACACTATTTGTGAATTGTAGCGGGCATTGAAGGTTAGGTCCTTAGCAACAAACGGGGCGACTTGGACGTTTCGGTGTCATTCTTAATTTTCTTTTGTATGTGAAATGAACTCAACTTGAAGCAAATCGATTTTGTCCAAAGTTCATTTTGAACAAAAAGTCAATTCCTCCCTTAAGTATACAGAGCTGACTTGTATACTCTATTTGTGCGTCACAGCGGACATTGATGGTCAGGTCCTTCGCAACAAACGGGGATATTTGAACTTTTTGTTGGCATGCTTAATTTTGTTTTGAATTTAAAGTGAAAGCAACTTGAAGCAAATCGATTTTGTACAAAGTTTATTTTGAACAAAAGGTCAATTTCTCCCTTAAGTATACAGAGCTGAATTGTATACTCTATTTGTGCGTTTTAGCTGACATTGTGGGTCAGGTCCTTCGCAACAAACGGGGATATTTGAACTTTTTGTTGGCATGCTTAATTTTGTTTTGAATTTAAAGTGAAAGCAACTTGAAGCAAATCGATTTTGTACACAGTTTATTTTGAACAAAAAGTCAATTTCTCCCTTAAGTATACAGAGCTGAATTGTATACTCTATTTGTGCGTTTTAGCTGACATTGAGGGTCAGGTCCTTCGCAACAAACGGGGAGATTTAAACCAATATTTTGTTGTTCTTGTTATCTTTCTTGTATGTGAAGTGAACACAAATCGAATCAAATCGATTTTGCACAAAGATCATTTTGAACCAAAAGGCTATTTATCCCGTAAGTACTCAGAGCTGACTTGTATACCCTATTTGTGAATTGTAGCGGGCATTGAAGGTTAGGTCCTTAGCAACAAACGGGGCGACTTGGACGTTTCGGTGTCATTCTTAATTTTCTTTTGTATGTGAAGTGAACTCAACTTGAAGCAAATCGATTTTGTCCAAAGTTCATTTTGAACAAAAAGTCACTTTCTCCCTTAAGTATACAGAGCTGACTTGTATACTCTATTTGTGCGTTTTAGCTGACATTGAGGGTCAGGTCCTTCGCAACAAACGGGGATATTTGAACTTTTTGTTGGCATGATTAATTTTGTTTTGAATGTAAAGTGAAAGCAACTTGAATCAAATCGATTTTGTACAAAGTTTATTTTGAACAAAAGGTCAATTTCTCCCTTAAGTATACAGAGCTGACTTGTATACTCTATTTGTGCGTTTAAGCTGACATTGAGGGTCAGGTCCTTCGCAAAAAACGGGGAGATTTAAACCAATATTTTGTTGTTCTTGTTATCCTTCTTGTATGTGAAGTGAACACAAATTGAATCAAATCGATTTTGCACAAAGATCATTTTGAACCAAAAGGCTATTTATCCCGTTAGTACTCAGAGCTGACTTGTATACCCTATTTGTGAATTGTAGCGGGCATTGAAGGTTAGGTCCTTAGCAACAAACGGGGCGACTTGGACGTTTCGGTGTCATTCTTAATTTTCTTTTGTATGTGAAGTGAACTCAACTTGAAGCAAATCGATTTTGTCCAAAGTTCATTTGAACAAAAAGTCACTTTCTCCCTTAAGTATACAGAGCTGACTTGTATACTCTATTTGTGCGTTTTAGCTGACATTGAGGGTCAGGTCCTTCGCAACAAACGGGGATATTTGAACTTTTTGTTGGCATGATTAATTTAGTTTTGAATGTAAAGTGAAAGCAACTTGAAGCAAATCGATTTTGTACAAAGTTTATTTTGAACAAAAGGTCAATTTCTCCCTTAAGTATACAGAGCTGAATTGTATACTCTATTTGTGCGTTTTAGCTGACATTGAGGGTCAGGTCCTTCGCAAAAAACGGGGAGATTTAAACCAATATTTTGTTGTTCTTGTTATCTTTCTTGTATGTGAAGTGAACACAAATTGAATCAAATCGATTTTGCACAAAGATCATTTTGAACCAAAAGGCTATTTATCCCGTTAGTACTCAGAGCTGACTTGTATACACTATTTGTGAATTGTAGCGGGCATTGAAGGTTAGGTCCTTAGCAACAAACGGGGCGATTTGGACGTTTCGGTGTCATTCTTAATTTTCTTTTGTATGTGAAGTGAACACAACTTGAAGCAAATCGATTTTGTCCAACGTTCATTTTGAACAAAAAGTCAATTCCTCCCTTAAGTATACAGAGCTGACTTGTATACTCTATTTGCGCGTCACAGCGGACATTGAGGGTCAGGTCCTTCGCAACAAACGGGGATATTTGAACTTTTTGTTGGCATGCTTAATTTTGTTTTGAATGTAAATTGAAAGCAACTTGAAGCAAATCGATTTTGTACAAAGTTTATTTTGAACAAAAAGTCAATTTCTCCCTTAAGTATACAGAGCTGACTTGTGTACTCTATTTGTGCGTTTAAGCTGTCATTGAGGGTCAGGTCCTTCGCAACAAACGGGGAGATTTAAACCAATATTTTGTTGTTCTTGTTATCTTTCTTGTATGTGAAGTGAACACAAATTGAATCAAATCGATTTTGCACAAAGATCATTTTGAACCAAAAGGCTATTTATCCCGTTAGTACTCAGAGCTGACTTGTATACCCTATTTGTGAATTGTAGCGGGCATTGAAGGTTAGGTCCTTAGCAACAAACGGGGCGATTTGGACGTTTCGGTGTCATTCTTAATTTTCTTTTGTATGTGAAGTGAACACAACTTGAAGCAAATCGATTTTGTCCAAAGTTCATTTTGAACAAAAAGTCAATTCCTCCCTTAAGTATACAGAGCTGACTTGTATACTCTATTTGTGCGTCTTAGCGGACATTGAGGGTCAGGTCCTTCGCAACAAACGGAGAGATTCAAACCATTCTTTTAATGTTGTTTTTATGCTTAATTTATTTAGTTTTTGTTTTTTATGTAAAGTGAACGCAACTTGAAACAAATCGGTTTTGCACAAAGTTCACAGAGCTGACATGTATACTTAATTTGTCCATGTTAGCGGAAATTGAGGGTCAGGTCCTATACAACAAACGGAGAAACTTAACTTTTCGTTATCATGCTGGACATTCGGTTTGTGTATGTAAACTAAACACTTTTTGCGCCCGATGAATTTTACAACCCGTTTGTTGAGAAAAAGTATTCCTTATGTTAACAGAGCTGACTTGTTACCTATATTTGTGCGTTTTAGCAGAAATTGATTGATAAGTCACGACCTTTCCAAAAAGGGGATATTTGAACTATTTCTTTGCCAACATTTATGACGTTACGAATTTACTGAATTTCATATTTGAAGTACATGATTATATACCTAAGACCATAAACTGTTCATAAATTTGTATGCTGAATTAACTTTAAACTAGTTCCATAATGTAAGACATTTGACATATCATTCAGTTTATCAAAAACGTATTTTTGTTTAAAGTGCCCCCTCTCATGATAAAATATCTCTCGACTTCTACACACTTTAAATGCATAAACAAATTCTCTTCTTGAATTTTAGACAGACGTCATTTTTAGTTTATAGTGCTTTCTAATATTTATAAACTGATTGTCCGTCTATTATTTGTAGATCAATGTTCAGATGCAAATATTTTAGTTTCTAAGTTGAATAATGAAAACAAACTTTATTGTACTGTACTTGAAACTAACCAACTAAACGTCAATCAAATTGTTGTTTTTTTCTTTGTTTTTTAGTTTCTTTTGTTGTTGTTAATTTGTTGTTGTTGTTTTTTTGTGGGGTTTTTTTTTTTGTTCTTTTTTTTTGTGTATTTTATTTTTAGAGAAAACGGCTTTAATTTATGGAGAGGATTGTTTGTATAAACAAGTTATAAGAAAGAAGGATAGTGGAGAATTCGTCATTTGTTACAGTCATTTGTTACAAATATTTTTTTCGTACATCGAAAGTATTGTAACAATTTCAACTGTAGTTATTTTATTTTACTGTACAAACAGAATCGACGACTTATTCTGTTTAATTGCAGTAAGTTTACTTTTAAATAATCATAATGACATATATACAATTTGTTAAGTGCATTTAGAGAAACCCGAAGTTCATTCTGATATGAACTTCAATCGATCAACAATCCTTAAGAAAGATTGTTCCGATTATTACGGAGGGATTTATTCAACTTTGTCGAATTAGGATCTACAACCCACGGAAAATCATATCTTATCATTGCTGTACTTTTATTGAAATTAAATAATCGAGTTAAAATACATGTTAAGTAAGTTAAGTAGTGGTTCAATAACTAAACTCGTAAACTTTATTAAAAGTATAGTCGGTTTATCATGACAATAAAGTCACTTCATAAAACATCTCAATATTTTAATCACAAGAATCAAATTTTAATGTATATGATCAAGTTGATATGATAAGTAAATAAGTTTAATTTATACCTCATATGTTAACAACACAATGACATTGGCATGTTGTGAATTGTAGTTGTGTAATACTTTATTCATAAAGTTCACCAAGCTAACAACAAAATATAATAATTTGTAGGCAGTCTCCAAGAAATCGTTTTAATTTTTGACAAACAAAGTAAATGTAGAGGGAAAACTAGAAAAATTAGATAGGTCTATGTACAGGTAACTATGTATTTTTCTTTAGATTGAAACAATATTTTGATTTTTTAAAACGAAAATGCATTTCTTCTCTCAGGTACAGAGCTGTCTTGCATTCTACATTGTGCAGGTTTGTAGGCACTGACGATAATGGCTTTAGCCATAACGCAGACACCTTACCTAAATGCTCTTATCAACGAATTACACTCAGGACAATATCGAAGACGCTCCAAACATGAATAACACAGATCATGTTTGTAAGGCCTACAACTCACCAAACGTACAATATCATGTTCCTAGTGACAACCATCACACAACCCAAATGTTCCATTACCAATTTTCCGCACTAGTAAGAAAGAAGATATAAGAGAATAATCATCATTATTTCATCATATTTAACGATAATATCAGATTTTACAAATCGAGCCATATTAAGTAGCTTTGCAATATGAAACTTACGTTTTATGTCATTTCATGTACTACATGCACAAATTTTCATGTTAAATACCTTTAAATTAATTGATTGTAAATCTTTTTCTGCAAACTGTCACTGTTAGCGATCTTACGTGGCAAAACCCTAAATTGGTATCGTTCTGATAGTCTGAAAAAGTATTTACCAGTATACATACCTTCACGTCGAATTTTAGCCAACCTAATTCCGATGTATAGCACACTAACAGACAGTCCAAGAAAACATAGCATTTCATAGTTATATGACGGTTTGCAGCTATCATCAGTCGCTGAAAAATGAACGAGTTTGTTTTACTTTTGTTCAGAATAAAGTTTATATTTTTTATGAAATCAGTACCTTATTTGTTGTTTTTTTAAACAAAATATAAAATTTATTATTTATTATCTATTAAAGATAAAAAAATTAAAAAAGCGAGTGATCAATATAAATTTGCACTTCTATTATATATTCATTTATATATACTCGTTTTTCTTGTCTGAAATGTGTCCATGAAAGACTATGAAAAATTTCAAATCGTTGTGTTGGTGGGAAATAAACAAGGTATACAACTGATCATCTTTGTGTTAAACAAACAAGATATACAGTGCTTTCAATAACGTTGCGTTCCTTGATTTAATATTCGCTTTTCAAAATTCAGAGGTTTTTATACGAATATACGTATACAATTCAAATAAGTTATGCAATTTATAAAGGATATCTCATAAATCAAGGTTATACATATTTTGCTGAAGTAAATGCATAGTGACACTAGCTATGAAGAATATTAATCGGAAGTTTTTTTTTGACTACCTCGTCAATGCCACAATTTGATGATAGCCAAAGTGATCGATTAGTATTGAAAATTTAATTATATATTGATCGTATTTTAAGCGTTTTCTCGCAAATAACTTCCGATAAAAAGGTCTGAACAACAATACTCTTCAATAAACAATACTCAAACAATTTACGAACACTTTACTACTAAAATAAACTTGTTTTCACAAATTTGGCACTCCAATGTACGTGTATCTGATATAATTAGTATCTTCATACATAAATACGAACAGACCACATTGAATAGGGGAAAAACGTTCCTGACCTTATATTGTTTTAAAAAGAATATTTTTGTTTTAAAAAGTCGATGATAATATAAAAGTTGTCCTGTTATAAGAGACGGAACATCTTACAAACGCCTCGGCCCTTTAACTTTATTTCATTTCAATATGCTGTTCATTTCTATAAATTTATGTATCTTCAACTAGGTATGGGAGTAATCCCATCATATTCCTATCATAGGTTACGTTCTCGTATAAGAACCTTTGATGGGAATTATGGTACAAACGTTAACAAACACATGTACAGATAAAACTATAATAAAAAATATTATCAGTTCCCCTTTAACTTTAGAAAGTTTTAAATGAAGTATATGCGCGCCCATATGGTTCATTCCGGAGGCGAGGGTAAATAAATCAATACACACACACAATACTCCCTCAGATGTCGAAACACATCATATTGGTGTTACTATATTCTAAATACATACCTTTAGTATCTACTGGCTGTTCTTTTGCAGTAACCTTAGCAGACGGCTTCATTTCCCAAAAGAACATATCATCAATGGCCATAAGATGTCGTTGGTTTTCTTTCATGAATCTTTGTTGCTGCTCTTCTTCCTTTTTTCTCACTTGGTCATAACTGTCTGAAATTATCTATAATATGCAAGTATGTTGAATACATATTTTAGATATCAATTCAAATCAAACAAAAGAATTTAAATAATTCTAGCTATGAAGCTAGTCACTCATATTTATCTTGTAAAGCGACGCATTTCCCTTTCGTTTGAATACTGAAGAATCATCAATATTAAACGCTTCCTATGATGCATGGGACACGAAATTTCAAGAGAGACATTAAAGTTTGAAAATACAAAGCATGTACTTAAATGCATTTTATATGTAGGGCAATGTGCTTTGCCATTTTGTATATTGTTCAACGCTTTTATTTGAAAATTAAACTGCAATACATCTAACTGTATATATAGATAACTTAAAACATAATGTACAGAAAACAAATACAATGTATATATATTTGTGTATGTTAATAACAACATTTTAAATGTTAATGTATCATATCTTGTTGCCAATGTCATTTTGTATTGCAAAATGTGTTTGCATATCTCCAACTGCTAATATATATGTATAAATTCAAGCCATAATTGTGGTTGTTATTTACAACTTTTTAAATGTCAATAATGATTTGTTAACAATATTTAAAAGGCATATATATTATGTTAAAAAGCTGTGTTTTTTTCTTCAGTTCTTTAGAATCGAGAATCGCCAAACATATGATTAATAGTATAAATAATGTTTAGGGCATGTTAGATGTTTCACAACTGAAGAAAGTATCGCTGAACGCGAGTAATGTGTCATTAAGGTAGCAAACCAAAGTAAACCAAGTAGTATCTGCCTTCATGCAAGTTACTAATTCACTTTAATAAGACCGATTACCAAAAGAGAAAAATAAGCAAAAGATAGTTCATGTATATGGTAAATGAGTTTTACTTTGAGAAATGTAACAAGATAAAAAAATTAAGTTTGTGAGATATAAAATAGGTAGCATTTCTGAGGCATATTTGGCCTTAAAAACAAGGTTTTAGAAAAAACCATAAAAAAGTGTAGAACGTTAACTTTTTATAAAACTTTCATTTAAATTTTAATATGATGGCAAAACAAACAGATAACGTACACTAATTTTTTCGTAAAATTTTTAAAAAAGTTAAATTTTAAAACAATTTTTTTGGGGTCAACCCTTTAGGCAAAATTTTTAAGCTAACCAACATTTCTTTTAAAAAATGTTTTTTTAGCTTAAATTTTTAATCTAACCCTTATTTGCAATATATAACTTAAAACATAAACTAATATACATGTCTTCGGCTTGCTTAATGGAGAAGAAAAGTCCAATTAATGCATACTAATTGATGCATATCAACGACTATTGCGTAAAAACGTAAACACGAAGGTAGAACATTTTTGCTTCCGTAGATTCGATATTTACTGAAGCATTATACAGGATCAGTTGTTGTCTGTCACATGACCGAGTTCACTGACGAATTACAGACACCTGTACCGTGTTCCTGCGTTCGACAAAATTGAAAATTTTAGTTTCACCTCGAACTCTGTTTCTATGACAAATATAATATTTTCTTAAAAGATAAATATTCAAGGCAGAGAAGAGTGACAACATTCAAGCAGGAGACACCTGTAGAGTCTCTGTGTCAAATTACATTTGTACATTTTTATTTATCGATAAATTGAATAATAGAAATTATCGTCTTGGTTTGCTTGATAAGATCAAATGTCAAGTTAGTTAATATAAATTACGTGAATTTACCACAAATCTTTTTAATTTTTTATTCAACCCCCAAAATTAAAAGGAAAAAGTAAAATACAGGCTAAAAGGGTTTAAAATTTTTAAAAAATTAAAACGCAGAACATCATTGTACGCTTCAAAAAAATAGAGAATTAAATTTCAGTATTTTTTTTTTATATAAACTTTAAACTTTTTAAAAAACTACAAACATCCATCCACTTACCCTGTTTAAGAAGCCATGAAGTCTCTGTGGTGTATCATCGCAAACTAAATGCCTCTTTTCAGCAGGTAAACAAATTTTATTAGTTAACACAGTTGAAGGTAAGTCCAGCATAGACCACATAAGTGCCAAAACAATTACTAAGACTAGCAAAACAAGGCACAACATGCAAAGGGTAACTATCTTAAAACTTTGCCCCATATCTAACTATTCTTTAAAGAAAAAAGATATTGAATGCT